ATTAGAAAGACCGGTAATGACAAATAATTTTATATCAGTTAAATTTGTAAAAAGAAAAATATCAATGCAAGAGGATGAAGAATTACTTATTCTCGTGGGATCATCTATGGAAACAACCCAAATGAATCCATCCTACATTTAAAACTTTTGCTAATTTTACGACTTTTGTCGGGATAGATATAAAAAAAAATCACAGCAAACAATAATAGAATTATATTTATGAAAAAGTACTTCCATCAAAGCATAAAGTAAATGTATAAATTTATAAGCATCTTGATCTGGACCTCTATATACGCAAACAATACAATAAGTAGTTAGAGAAAAAAATGCTTCTACAGCGCAAAATTCAAATTTTTTTTCGATAGGTATAACATTTGCTATAATATTATAACATTTACTTTTACCTACAAAAAATACAAATGACTCCATGCTTAAAATAATTTCGGCAGAAAGAAGAGCATAAATAGTAACCGGTTAATTTATAATTTAAAAAACACAAATGCCTCTGTGATTAAAATAATATCGGCAGAAAGAGGAGCATAAATAGTAACCGGTTAATATCAGTTAATTTGAGCTTAATGTCATTAAGCCACTGTTCCGAAAAGCATAAAAAAATAGGTTCATAGCAATTTGAAAGTAATTCAATTTTAAGTAATTTTTTAGGTAAATTTTGAATGTGTTGACAAAATATAGAAGGAAAAGCAAAATATAGAAAGAATCAAAAGCGAATGAAGCGGAAGTTTCGGGAATTTGGCAGAGTCAGCGCTTCACAAACGAAAAAACGACTGAGCTTCCGTTTTGCATTGGAAAGAAAATGGAGATTATGCCTGGTGTAGTCGAATCTATCAACGTATCTATTGACATCAAAGACCTTAACACCTTTGAATTTACCCATGAACAAAATCACGATAAATACAACGATTTAATTGGAAAATTCTAGAAATCAGGTCATGATTGTCATATCGTATTGTAACAAAACAAAGGTTTGTTTTACTACAAGATCGACGAGCAAACTATAACGCATCAGGAATAGCATAATCAGAGTCAGCGTCTTTCATCTCGGCCATAATAACAACATGATCTCAAATACCAGAATCACCAGCCACGCTAGCAAAACCTGCACCCGGCTTGACCATTCCGAACCTGGACCAGGATCTGCCGTGGCTGTCAGACAAAATATGAACTTTGGGCGTTGGTGAGGAAAAGAAAGAAGGAAGTGGAGTGGACGCTTTGATCTGTTCTTTTTGGATCAGGTTGCTCACATTAAGAATTAGAATTAATACTTTGCAACTTGAAATTGGCAGTTGCCAACTCTTCTGTAAGCTTTGCAATCATTCAGTCCTTCTCATTGCGCAATATATTCTGTAAATTAATAACTTGCCGCAAACTGATACAATCAGCACAAATAACGGTACAATTTAAATTAAAAAACTCATCCACAACTGAGTCATCAACAGAATTTTGACTCATCTGGCTTTTAGTATCTTGATTTTAATTTTCATCCTTGATATAACACAGGTAACAATTTGATAGACGGTATTCAAAAGACCAGGTATATTATTCTTCTTTGTCGGTTTGAACTTATTTATTTGGCGAATTTTAGGTATAAGTAAAAATTATCCTATAAATTTAATTTAAATAATATATTTATTTTGTGTTGACCCTACCTACGACGGCCCTAGAAATGTTATTCACGGTCACGATTTATAAATTTACGAACAAAATTTATAAAAATTAACAACCATAACCGAAATAGTGTCATGATTTCACCAAAGCCTTAGACTGCACTTAAAAGCTCATAATTTAGAAACAATGTGAAATCATTTTATTTAGGACTGTTAAGATCAATACTATCTCTCCGTTTCGGCTTGAAGTTAAGCTCTGGGATACCTTGTATACTGCCAATCTATATTACTTCTGAAAATGTATAATTTTACTAATGTGTTTCATTTCAATCAGCTGTATTTTATTTGGAAGGTTGCAATAATGTTTTCGACAAAGATACGTGAGGCAATTTCTCTTGTTTTTATGCAAAAATTAATTATGTACGTTTGAACAAAAATTGAAATTCCATTTATCAGCAATTTACACAAAAAGTTTTGACAAATTTTCATTATACACAAACGTTAAAAACAAATCTGTATTGTTCTATGCATTACAGGTGCGATATAATAAACGTTAAAT